TAAACGGCTTGCCCCTTCTCCCAGGATGAATACTCCCTCCTCCTGATTTCACATCCTTCATGAGGAAGAGTCCCTAGTCTCTCTCTAAATCATCAACTGCCTGTCAGAGGACCCTATCTGCCAGTCCTCAAATGCTACATGTCAAATAGAAATTGCTTTCCCTCTACTCCTACGGCACTCTTCCTGAATCCTTTTTCATATGCTGGCCCAAACTCTCCACCCTTCCACACAACCAAGGAACTTACAAAGTTAACCTTGATTGTTCTCCTTTGACAAAGGAGCATGTTTCAGAATCCAGGGTCTGAAGAAAAAGCCCCAGCCGTGAGAGAATAGACTAGGAAAACTTCTAGCAAAAGAAATGCAAGAAATATCCCAAACTACAAAACATTGCTGTGCGAAATCAAGGACCAAGGTTAAGTAGAGAGGCCTTCTATGATTATAGAAAGGATAGCAGTCAGTCTTTGTGAGTTGACAAATTCAAAACCATTCTTAGAAAATCACAGCAGGCCTCACTTTTACAGAAACCAAAAAGTGGATTCTAAAATTTACATAGAAACCAAAAGACCAAGGATGAAAAATTAGCCTTTGTACATTATGTAAAAAATTTAACATTGTACAAATAAGTATGAAGTTGGAGAATATATGCTTTTCAGTTTCAAGACCTAACTTTTACATATATATCTGATGTTAGGGTTTTTTTTTGGGGGGGGGAGGGTCGGGCATGGGGCTTGAACTCTGGGCCTGGGCACTGTCCCTCAGCTCTTCAGCTCAAGGCGAGTGCTCTACCGCTTGAGCCACAGCGCCCCTTCCAGTTTTCTAGTGGTTTATTGGAGGTAAGAGTCTCACGGACTTTCCTGCCTGGACTGGCTTTGAATTGTGATCCTCAGATCTCAGCCTCCTGAGTAGCTAAGATTACAGGTGTGAGCTACCAGCGCCTGGCTAGGGTGAGTTTTTTGCTTGTTCATGACAGTGGGAATTAAGGCTAAGGCCTCAACTCACTTTTGATAAAGGCACAATGAGAAAAATGTCTTAGCACATGTATGCATGCGTGCATGAGTGTATGTATGGGTGTACACATAATCAAGATGGCTCAATGATCTAAATTTAGGGACTAAAACTGCATTTTCAGAATAAAACAGAAGTCATTGTGACATTGAGTGAAGCAGAGTGATAATGACCAAAAACACATTCAAGAAGAATTGGGACATTATGAAAATTAGAAATGTGCAATTTAAAAAGACACCATGAAGAAATTGAAGGGAAAAAAGAAATGGAAGAGTACTTTGTTTAATAAAGATGAAGAATGCTAAATGAACTGAAAAGAACTTGGCAGGTGTGGTAGCTCATGCCTGTGATCTATTTGGGAGGTGGTGATTGTGGTTTGAGGTAAGCCTGGGCAAAGGTTCCTGAGACTCCCCTCTCATCCAGTGGCTAGGTGTGGTAACACAGGCCTGTTATCCTAGCTATGGGGGAAGCAATGGCTGGGCCTTGGGGAAACATAAGTAGAAAGATCTCAGCATAGGTCACTGGGACAGCAAATAAGACTCTACATCAAGATCAGAGTAAAAAGGGGCTGGAGATGTAGCTCAAGCGGTAGAGTCTCCGCCTATCTAAAGCATGAGGCTCCGAGTTCAACCTCTAGTTGTGCCAAAATAATAATGATGATGGTAATAACATAAAATGGAAAAAATTTTGAAGATGTCAGGGCTGGGAGAAACTATCTGCCAGTCATTATCTTATAAAAGATCAGTATCCAGAGTATATTATGAGCTCTTACTATTCAATAATAAAACAAAGCTTAAATAATAAGCTAAAAATGTGAAAAAAATTATTTCTCCAGAGAAGATACAGAATTGGCTCATAAGCATATAAAAAGAAATTAAATATCATCAGCTACCAGGGAAATGCAAATCAAACCCACAGTGAGATACTGTTCACAACCACTAGGATTACTGTAATTTAAAAAGTCAGATAATCATGTGTTGGCAAGAACATGGAGAAATCAGTTTGAAAGTTTCTTAAAAAGTTAACACAGGTCCATATACAGACATGCACACAAGTAGTCAAAGCTGCATGTGAACATGGTCTACAACCATCTACTCTTGAATGAAGGAAATGTGATAGAAACCTACAATACTACTCCGCAATACAATCCAAAGTAAATACAGGCAATGTACAACATGGGCAAGCTTCAAAAGTAGGTATGAAAGACACTGACTGCCTGGTCCCATTGAATCCAGAAAGGCAAATCAGGGTAGAAAGTAATCAGTGGTTTCTCTAGGGCTGAGAGGTCTTTTTGGGGTGACAGAAATATTTTAAGACTAGTTGTTCTAACTACAATTACCGAAAGTACCCTAAGAATAAGATTAAGCCAAGCCAATTATACCTCCTTCGGTTGGTCGAGGGCTAAGGACTTTACATAGGCTGGATGCATGGACTCTGGTTGTTATTTAGCAGCTGTGTTACCAGGGGCAAGTTGCTTAGTCTTTGTCCTCATTTTCTCATCTAGTAAGTGGACCAAAGTAGTCCATGCATCATAGTTACTGTGAGGATTAATGGGTTGGCACCCAAGGCTTGCCCAGTGACAGATACAGGAAGCATGCAGGAAATGTCAGTGGTGTTTCTTATTTAGGACACTAGCAGTACTTTCATCCAATTGTCAAGTGTTGCTGAGTTCACAAGTGAATTGCCTTTGTTTTATGGGCTTAGGCTCTGCTCTGCTCACAGACAGACTTGCCACTCTACTCACAGCCTCCTACCTTCCCCACTACCCCAAGGCTTAGCGCCTCAGGGGGAGCCTCCACACCTTCCAGGGGCCATAGGGAAAATGGAAATGCTCAGCAAACCTACCTTCAGGATGAGGTTCAGCTCACATAATTGCCGTGTTTGGTCTCCCTTCTCTGTACCCCCTGCCCCCAGACACCTTAAACATCACTTTCCCACATATAGCAGTTGCATCAGAAAAGCCCAGAAGTACCTCTTCCTCTCTGCCCCTTGCCTGTGTATTATACTGATGGCTTTCAGGCTCACCAGCCTTACCCCTGCCTCTCTGCTGGGCTCACCTCTTGGCCCTTCTTCTGTGCCTCTGGTAACAACCTGTGCAAATTAGTGCCAAGACAATGCTGCAGAGATGTCTCAAACCTCCCACATGAACCTAGCTCAGACGCTTGTATGTTGTAGATGCTCAATAAAACGAAGGGCTGGTCAAATGGAGGACTAGACTGTTAAGCATCTTCTCAGCTCTTAGGTTTTCAAGTGGCAGTGGCTTCTCAAGAGTATGTCACTTACAGAGACAGACTATAAAAATGCGGCCTTCTGACAGAATGTTACCAGTGGAATCCTCCTAACTTTCCTAATGTCAACTTTCTGAGTTACCCCAGTGGGAATACAAGATAGCTTTGGAGAAACTTTTTTTTTTTAAAGAGGTAGCTTAATAATTAAGTTATAAGGGAACTGCAACCATCTGATGACTTAAGTTCTAGCCCAGATATTATGATTTAGGTGACCTGGGATGAGAGCACAAAGGTATTTTAAGTTCACCAAACAATTCTAAAGCGCAACAAGGCCCACACTTAAAAAAAAAAAATTCTAAAGTTAGGCCTTGCAATGGTGGCTCACTCCTGTACTCCTAGCTACTCAGGAGACTGAGATCTCAGGATTGAGGTGCAAAGCCAACCCAGGCAGGAAGTCCCTGAGACTCCTATTAACCACCAGAAAACCAGAAGTGGATCTGTGACTCAAAGTGGTAGAGTGCTAGCCTTGAGCAAAAGAGCTCAGGACAGTGCACAGGTCCTGTGTTCAAGCCCTATGACTGACAAAAACAAATAAAAAAATCTAAAATTAGTTCCTTTGTTTCACAGCCTTCTCATGTATAAAACAGTGGCAGTTATGCTTACTTGCACTTGTAATAATTTAAAAAGCATTCCGATGCTGGTGGTTCACACCTGTAATCTAGCTATTCAGGCAACTACAATCTTGGAGGACTGTGGTTTGAAGCTAGCTTGGGCAGAAAAGTTTGCCAGCTTCAACCTACAAAACAGCCAAAAAGGTAGGTCTGGAGGCATGTCTCAAGTGGTAGAGTGTCTGTCTAGCACTACAGACACACATGGCATCTTCTAGTCAGGAAAAGGACAAGTTGAACAAAGTACTGACTACACACAGTTTTTGTGCTTGTAATGGGACCCAAGTTTGTGTATACGGCAACATTCAGTACTAACAGTTTCAATAAAAGAAAGTTAAAATATTTTTGATTGAATTGCTTCTTTCAAAAATCTATCACTGATACTTTGATATGTGAATTATATAAGGCTCATACTATTAAGCTGTCCATATTTTAAAATCACATATATGTATACATGTACATATACACATATATTTATATATATATATTTGAAAGAGCAAGTTTAAAAACTCTTTGAGATCCTGGATCTAGTTTAACTTCTCAAACTAAATGCTAAAAACAAAATAGTAAAAATAAAATCATAAACAACATTGCTTATTATGTTAGCCAAAAATATCATGAAGAAATTATAGCAAATATACCTTGCACATGTTACTTAGAGATAAATCAATTTCCACACCTTGGAAGCCCTTACTGTATTAATTAAGTATATTTTGACCCACTTTGCCAATATGTATTTATTTATTTCACTTATCTTTTATTAAAAATAAATTTCAAAGAGTAAAATGATATGTGGCAAAATAATTTCAAATTAAATTTTCCTACTTAAAAACCTCACATAGAGAACTACATTTTATAACAGGGAAAACTGGAAATACCTTATTGCTATCAATAATGTCATTAAATAAAGGAAGGTAATACAGTTCTACATACAGTCTTCCTGGGAATTAAAACATGACACACAAGTATAACATACATGAAGTCCTGCAGGTGAACACTGGCCACATACAGCCAGTTAGGAGAGAATTAGCCTTGGAAGCATCAGAGATGCAGCATTCTTGACAAATGAAAAAATGCACATAGGAGACACAAAACAAAATATACTTGTAACTTTTAGCATGTTAGAAACAATCACATTGAAAAAAGTATACAGATAAAAAGTCAGAGATGACATAAGAAAATAGTGTGTGTGTATATATATTGAATATATATACATAAATCTACAATATTTATCACTGTTGATATATATTTGAAACAGCTCAGGTGCTGCTTTCATAAACTAAATTGTACAGCTTGGTTTATTACAAGTCACAAAATCATAGTTTAAAAAGTGGAATGAATATCTTCAGCTACATTTTTTATATACATTTATTTCTCAGCTTCCACATGATCTAAATCAAGAGCCCAGTTATTTTAGCAGGATTTTGTTCAGTTTCAGTGTAGTGTTTATAGTTTTAATACACTGCATTTGTTTTGCCATTTAATAACATAATTACCAAGTCGATTAAAATTACATTAGACTCATTATATACAAAAAATAGCCACATTCACTAGCTAAACAAATGTTACTCTCATTTTAAACACATTTTTGTACCTCAAAAGCTTAAATCCCCCACTTGCAATAGGAAGAACCACCAATGTTAGACCCTCTACTTTCTCTGTTATCCAATATAAACACAGTCATGTTGAAAACAAGCACTCCAATTAAATGCAAAGTAATTCTCTCTCGTTAACTGTAGTGTACAGACTATTTATTTATTTATTTAATTTGTGCCGGTTCTGGGCTTGAACTCAGCCTCATGCTCTCACATGGCTTTCTGCTCAAGGCTGGTACTCCACCACTTGAGCTACAAACCTCCACTTCCAGCCTTCTGCTGGATAACTGAAGGTTAAAAGTCTCATCGACTTTCTGCCTGGGCTGGCTTAAACTGCAATCCTGGTATCTCAGCCTCCTGAGTAGCCAGGGATTACAGGTATAAGTCACCAACACCCTGATAGAATATTCTTATAGATACCACTGATTTTCTTTTAACTACAAACTTGATTTTTTCACTACAAAAGAAAAAAAATTCAAAAGCATAAGAGTCAACCCATATTTTTTTAAAAAACATCAAAATCTTAGATGCCTATTCATAATTAGAATTTTCCCCACAATTTTAACATGGATAATGCAATGGCCCAAATAACTAGCAATTTCTATTGATTATATTATTCTTCAGAGACTGGTCACCAGAGGCCCTCACTTTAAGGTGAGGCCCTCTTGAAAGTTTAAGGGACACAGTGACAAGTAGCTGTATCATTAATCCTGCTTTCAAATGATCTTCAGAAGCATTCCTTCCTTCTGCCACCTGAGTGCTGTGTCAACACTAACTGCACAAGGCCCTCTGCGTGGGGGGCCCCCGAGCCGCAGCGTGCCCCCAGCACCCGGGCAGGGATCGGCCTACCCGGAGCCTGGAGCGCAGGAGCCGTCAAGGATGCGCATACACAAGACCCATCTGGGGAGGGCTGCATCTCTAGCCATAAACTTAGGTGAACCGCCTCAAACTTGAAGCACCATAAAGTGGGTAAATCGTTCTCTCCAATATCTTTAAGTTCCCCATGGAAATAAAATGGCAGCAACTGATGGAGAATGAGGAGCATTTTTGAGATGAATTAATAACATGAAGGCAAACTAGTCAGCTTAGGATCTGGGTAAAAAAATATAAAGGGGAAAAAGTGAACTCAAAGACAAGTTAAGGTGGGGGGATTATCAACATTTGATGGGTCTACATGAAAAGTAGTCTTTAAAAAGTATTTCTTCAGTTCTGTGTTCAAATATGTATGCATAGATGCCTATAACATCTATTAAAAGATACACTACATATAGTCTTAAAAATATTTCTTCTACTGTTTTTCAGTGCTTTGTAGTATCAGTCAAAATAGGATGGGTCAACAAAGTAAAAATGGTTAGGTTTTGGAGAAAGACTTAAATGAAACTGGGTAAAGAATCATTACTGTGCGTGCAGCCCTAAGTGCTATTGCTATGTTTCCGGGTTAAATCCTCTTTAACATATTCAGTGATGATGCAATTTAAAACGCTCATCTTAAGCAGCATCTATATGGGGATGAACACATTTCCATATACTCTTATTACTAACATACATTAGAATTGTGCGAGTCGTTTACAACACAGAAAATACTGCTTTGGCAATTATAAACATAGCAATGTAGTTTTCATATGGTTTCTATTCTCGACTTCAGCAAGAAGAGAGCAATTCTCACAGCAATACTGATTCTTGAACTGAAAGCCCCTCTCGTTTTCTGTAGTGATATGTTGGAGGCGAGGGCCCTGCATACTGATACCCAGCTGGACCAGCATCTTCCACAGCTGGTGAGGTTTTATACCGCACTGGACCATCCACTGACACTGCTGGGAGGCCATGGTCCTGAAAGGGCACATGCTGAAAAGCTGTATATTTTGGTAAATTACTTAAGTGGCCATGGCTAACATCGCGAGTCCAGGATTGTCCGTGCACCTCAGGCCTGTAAGGATAACTAACTTCGGACCACTTTCTGTTATCTGGCAAATAGTCCACTGGAGGAATGATGAATTTCCCATTCTTTGGTGATCCCGAGTTGCCCACATACCCCCCAGCACCAAGATCAATAGGAAGGACTTCTATTCGGCTAGAGGGTAGAACAACAGGAGTTGGGCGGGTGTAAGATTTCTCTGGAGAATTATCAATGGAAAGAGTGGAACCGTAAGGTCTCCTGGAAGGATGAATTTGAGTCACAGGGCCCATCTGTGGAGACATGATGCTGCTGGTAGCCGCAGGGATGTGTTTTGGAGAATGTCCATGGTAGATAGGGGGATTACTGTATGAGGGGGGATTTGCGGGCGTACAATCTTCTCCTTCTAACTGGGATGGATATCTTATATAGCTTGCAGGCTGCACTTTTAAAGTAAACTTGTTGGATACTTTTGATGGACTAGAGCTTGGCTCAGCATGCTTTCTTGGACTGTTAGAGTAAAAGACATTCCTTGGATTTTGAGAGCAAGCCCTTTCAAGTGCCTCTTCAACAAAAGCCCCATTTTCATTTTCACTTCCAGGTACATTATCATACTGTGATGCATTGGAGCCCCGCTTCCCATCACCAGTATCCAAAACCTTCATCTTTTGCCTTGTGTTTGATACTCGGCTTTCAGCAGAACTTGACACAGAAAGTGTGGGATGTACTGATCTACTTTTGCCTTCTATGGTGTATCTGGAAGTTCTTTCAATAGCTGAACTATCTGATGGTTTATTCCACTTGGGCACAAATTCCTTCTTGATATTTGAAATAGCATTGCTATTTTGGTTAGCTGCTGCATGGTTATAAGGCCTGGAATTGTCTTGTGGACCTGAATGTTTTCGTTGAACATCTGCCTCATCTTTTATGTTTTTACTATCCTCGTCCACTGATTTCCTCCTGAGCTGCCTGACTCTTTCTGGTGTGCCAGCTCTACTCTGATGGTGAGGGGAGTGCTCCTGTTTTCTGTGAGGTGATGATCCGCTTTCTCTTCTGCTGCTTATGTGGGGACTAGGAATGCCGACACTTCTTTGTCCATTGCTCAGGTGATGAGTGCTACCAGAATGAAATTCAGGTGGAAGTTGTCCCAGAGGTTTCTTTGGATATTCATCCTCTTTACCTAAAGGGAAAGATAAATTCATAAGTAACACAAACTCATGAGTAAACAGTATCCAACGTAAGAGACCGCTAGATGATTAATCACGAACTGCACGCTTTTCAAATGTGCACTGATCCACATACATGCACACACTTTCTGACCACAGTATGTCAGCAGCTGAAGGGAATGAAGTTCTAGAGACACTGATAACAAAGGATCAAACTTCACAACCTTAATAGCAACAGGCAGGTGGGGATGATTTGTAACCACAGGTAAGTCTCATGCAACTATCTGACAAATGACTCCTGAATTTTGTAAAAACTTATTGTTACATGTTTTTTGTTTTTTTCTTTCCCAAGAATGTAAAGCTGCTATTCTCATTCCTAACACAACCCTGCATGTCAGCAGTTTAATGTCTTAATATTACACTGCTTTCATTGTAACCTATCTCAACTAAAATGGGTTTGGAAATCTCAGTAAAATTTTCTAAATTTATATTATTGAGTACTTTCCACAGGACAATTTCACGATAAAAACAAAAAGTACTTTCAGCTGAAAGGTTACACAAGGATCCTCCTTTAAATGCAAAAACAGAGAATTTTAAAAAGAAAATCATGTAGAATCATTTTAGTTTCATATTTTAAATAACACAGAATCATGATATACTCAAGAATGGTGCAAAATAAATGAGCCATTCAATGAACAATGTTTTTTAAAGTAGTCTAACAATCTGGGTATCAAAATAAAAACATCATTACAGGAAAATCAGACCTCATTTGCAAAAATTCCACCATTTTCACCTGTTATTACACAATAATGTTCTGTCACTTGAAAATAAATCGCTGCTCTCTTTAAGTGTCCACTTGGCAATTCTAACAAATTTTGCTGGGTAAAATAAGCTCTGTATCAGGCACGTTGCCGAGTGAGCAATGGCATGTTTGTGGTGACTGTACGGTCATGGTCTTTGTTTTTATGGAGCTGCCAGTCTTGGTAATGATAGTCTTGTTATTCATCCACATTTCATAATTTTCTTTAGGTTTTTAATGGGGTGGGAAACTATATGCTCGGTTTTCTTTTAGAAAGTACAGTGTTAACTTTTTAATTTGATACTGTAATTGATGCATAATGATTGCACATATCTCATTAATCTAATGATGTTTCTTTAGGGAAGAGAGGAATACCCTTTAAATAGCTAAGGTACCAGAATCAGAATTGCATTCAACACACTTCTGTTGTCTTTTAATAGAGTGATTTCAAAACTTGGGCCTAGGTACTGTCCCTGAACTGTTTTGCTCAAAGCCTGTGCTCTACACTTGAGCTACAGCTCCTCTTTTGGCTTTTTGGTAGTTAACTGGAGATAAAAATCTTATAGACTTTCCTGTGCAGGCTGGCTTTGAACCATGATCCTTAGCTCTCAGTCTCTTGAGTAGCTAGGTGTAAGCCATTTGCATCTAGCTTGATTTTAAAAATTTTAAAAAGTAGACTCTCCTTTTTCAAATAAAACTTGCTTTAAGGTACAGTAGTGACTCTGGGCTTGGGGAGTTCTCCCATACCCCAGGGATGCAGGGAGAAATGGCCTTTCTGTAGTTTAGAGACTACATAGCACAGTCTCAGAGAAGACAACTGATCTCCTGAAGCTCATTTTGTCTTCTAGTAGGCTACTTTCATAAAACTCCAGAGAAACTTTTCACTGTCAAATTTAACTTTACAATGACAATATTTAGGCATGCTGTTGAGTATAATTGAAAGCATAGAAGTATTAGAAGTTACATGAGTACAGTTTTGTTTTGTCCACCTGACCCACAAACACATAAAGGAAATACTAGACCCACCCATGTTTTTACATGCTGAAGATATGTGGGAGAACTAATTCAAGTGGAATTGCTTCTCATTAAGAAAAAGGTTTGCTCAGTGGATTTCGGCTGCCTGTAGAGAGTCTTACCAGCCTTTTAGTTCATAAGAACTAATCTTCCATGGTTGAAAACCTCCATGAGAGCGTGTAGATAAGAACAGATATGGAATAGCTCTCATGCAACTGCTGCGGTGGCTGCCAGTGCTCTTGCAGGAGCCGCCCTGTGTGGTGGGGTACTGCAAGTCTCCTTGCAGCCTGCCTGCAGGTGCTCCATCTGCGTCAACCCGCAATTTACCAACGTTCAATTCACTTAAAGTGAGATGCTTCACAGATAGGGCCACTTACCTTTAGGTCTACATCCTGAATCTGAAAGTGTTTTATAAAAACAAAGTTTATGACTGCCTTTTCTAATAACAAAAAAGCACATATATATTTTAGCATTGATGATTGTTTCTTATGGTCTCAGCACATTTTAATGTCAAAATGTAACAAAGCCAATTATAATAATTAAAAAATTTCTTTTTAGCCATGTCAAAAAGCCAACTGAACAAATCAGACCTAGACAGGAACAAATAACAGAGGCATGAAGAGTTCTAACACCTTACAGATTTCTCTATATAGTTTCTATATGTCTTATAATCATCTACTTCCACTAGGAACTGTCTGTTTGAGGTTGGCTTCCAGAATATTTTGCACAGACACATAGCTACAACTACTGATAATGATGATGATGATGAAGAAACTGAACCCCTATACCTTTTGTGGTGTGGTGCTGAAGATCAAATCAGGGACTTGAGCACAGTAAGCTCAACCACTGAGCTAAATATCCATGCTCAAATAACATTTTACAGTATAGTAACAATGAATTTAGGCAATATTCTAGATCTACACTAACTGAACTAAGTAATGTGGGTGGTAACTTCCCTTATCTGAAGCTCACTAGTGGAAAATGGATTTGTTGTTTTGTCTCTCATGTTCTGCTGAATCTTTTCACAAGTCTTGTTTTTAAGCTACCTATCTTCAAGTCACAGCATGGCCAACAGGGACAAATGGTCTTCACCAATCTCATCTTTTGTATGTTAATTTCTCAGTCTTAGATTTTGTATTGAAGATGATAATATCTATTTTATAGATTTGTTATAAAGATTGGCGTTAATATATGGAAAAAAAGATTAGCATATTTCTTGGATATAGCAATTGTTTAGTAAGTGCTATATTGGCAGCTTCTGTATCACTATGCACTATGTAGTTATTTTTAGACAAGTTCAAAGTACTTCTCATTGATTCCTACTCATTGATTCCTTTGACTCATTGTTTCAATCTGAAACTTCCCTGGAAGCCAACATTAATTACACCTCCCCTGCAAGGGCATTGTGCTGTCTATTTCTTCATTCAAGTGACTGATAACAAATATGGAATTAAGATAAAAAACGGAGCACCTTTACTTCTTAAAATATAGTGAATTCTTAAAAATCTGTAAGAAAGGGGCTGGGAAGGTGGCTCAGTGGTAGAGCGCTTGCCTTGCATGCATGAGGCCCTGGGTTTGATTCCTCAGCACCACATAAGCAAAAAGAAAAAAGCCGGAAGTGGCGCTGTGGCTCAAGTGGTAGAGCACTAGCCTTGAGCTGAAGAGCTGAGGGACAGCGCCCAGGCCCAGAGTTCAGGCCCCACGACCAGACCCAAAAAAAAACCCCCAAAAACATAAAAATCTGTAAGAAAATAAAGGCTATTCTGTCTAGAAACGTAAGTAAAGGATGTAAATGGAAACTCACAGAAAGAAGACAGCAGGTAAACCATACGTTATGAGACATACAAATTAAAATAATTTTAAAATTGGCGTATCTCACTGTTTGAGAATTAAGTTCTCTGATTTGACAACACATTTTGAGGGTTTTGATCTAGTAATTTCACATCTGGAATTTAATAGTAAGGCATATACAAAACATCTGTTGTAAATATACTCAAAATTACATTGTTGTAAGTTGTGTGCTATTGGCTTATGTCTGTAATCTTAGGAGGATGAAATTGTTGGGGTTATGGTTCTGACGCCAGCTTCAGCAGATCCCTTCTCCCAATGAAAACCTGGAAGCAGGGTATGTGTTTTCCCAACTACAGGAGGCCTAATATAAGTGGACTGTGCCCAGGTACATTTTAAAGCAGGAATCAAGAATCTATTTAAAAAATGATGAGCAATAATCAAGGCTGGAGATATGGCTCAGAAGTAAGCGCCAGGACAGGAGTTCAAACCCTGGAACCACAAACATTTTTAAATTGCATTATTTTAGAAAAAATTATATGCTCAATGTAGAGGATTTGTGAAATTAAATATCATCAAACAAAAATATGTTATAGAGTATAAACCTGTAGCAGTCTATTGCCATGTTCATATATAGGTTTTTAACCTTCAACAGTCAAGAAGGAAGTTATAACAGTTTGCATAATACAATCTCATTTATCATGACTGACATACCATTGGACTACTATATAGGCAATGTCTATGCCTATAAAAATGACTATAAGAAATAAGTGCTAGCCAGGAGCTGGTGGTTCACGCATGTAATCCTAGCTACTCAGGAGGCTAAGATCTGAGGATAGTGGTTTGAAGCAAGCCCAGGCAGGAAAGGCCATGAGATTCTTATCTCTAATTAACTACCTGAAAACCAGAAGTAGAGCTATGGCTCAAAGTGGTAGAGTGCTAGCCTTGAGCACAAAAGCTCAGGGACAGTATCCAGGCCCTTAGTTCACACTCCACGACCGACAAAAATATTAAAAAATAAGCACTAGTAGTGCTTAATGTACATCAAGAATGCCCTTTGATGGGATGATTACTATTTTTACTTATCTACAACATGTTCAACACATAATAAAAAAGTATAACATTTTAAAACATGAAATTTTACATTGATGTTAGCCAAAAGGCCAAGAAGCAATAAAACATGGAATTTTAAAACATTGGTGTTTAGGAGGGTATTAACCTGCAATCTGGGTGTCTGACTTGTCTACAATATTTCTAGCAACAAAAGCATAGTAAAATTTTGTCAAATGCTTCACTTAGAATTTTTCTGATTCACTATGTGGGTAATCTTATTTATTTATTTTTTCTTGTCGGTGGTGGGTCTTGAACTCTGGGCCTAGGCACTGTCCTTCAGCTCTTCAGCTCAAGGTAAGC